TTTCAGTAGTGTGTGTGAGAGCGTTTCAGTAGTGTGTGTGAGAGCGTTTCAGTAATAATGTCCCTTACGGCACCTCATAAGAATACGTCTGCAAACACGGTATTTTATTCTTTCAGTTGTTAAAGAAAAAAGACATTTAGTCTAAATTAAACAAGTGAATCATAAGTGAATTTTGGTCTGTAATATAACAAAACGTAGAAAACTTGAAAAGGCTAAAATGCGCCAATTCATTTTGGATTTCAGTCTTACCATTTGGACGATGCCAAAATAGGCCATCAGGTAGCCATTCTGCTCAGGTTGCAGCTTAAAGAACTCCAGTGCAATGATAGAAAACATCACTTGAAAAATGCCTTAGAGCACAAAACAATTTTGTTAGATTTATATATGATTTATGATGACACCATCAAAGTTGGCTTTGTGGCAATTTAATTTTCTGTTTGCAAAATGTTTTCAGGACTGCTTAACTTCAGTGCTGGCCTGATATGCTGATTTACAACGTTACAGTTGTATTCAAAGTAGCTTGAAAAGAAAAGCGTCTGGACTTCTTTAAGTTGCTTGAAGACGTTTCACCTCTCATCTGAGAAGCTACACCTTGGCTCAAGATACACCTTGGCTCAGGCGATTAGAGGATCATCAGGGGGTCCTTTTGTCCCTCTGTGGGGGGACACTCCCACTAGGTTTAAATCTGGGACTACCCACGATTTGACCTTAGAACTGAAGAAGCTTCTTGGATGAGAGGTGAAACGTCTTCAAGCAACTTAAAGAAGTCTAGACGCTTTTCTTTGCAAGCTCCTTTGACTATGATGACCTGGATGAGTGAGAACCTTCACAGACATGTTACAGTTGTATTTATCTTGAAGTTGTTCTTGGTGCCATTTGTCTAAAGCCTGCTCCTGTAAGGCCAACTTCCCTTTACACAAACTTGCTTCCGATTGGCTGCTCCTTGCAATTCCAGAAGGTCCAGTTGGGGCTTCTGTGTACTCTGCCTTGCTCTCAAATTATCGTGTTCACAAGGTTTTCACAAAACTTCAGGATTCAAACTCATCAGAACCTTTTAGTAGAAACACCTATGGTATCAATTTGAAACTCCTATGTTGCCTTTTTCTCGAGTTAAACCTGGGGGTCCATGCTGCCCACCTGCCTGCCCGCCCAGCAGGGTGATGACGAACCCCCATCGAGCCTTTTATAGCTGAGCCATCACAAGAGTATGAAGCCTGAACATTTGGCTCACAGATGTTTGACCAGAATTATTTAAAATTTTGTCCTGGTTTAACATGAGCATCCACAAATTTAGCTACATATTCATACCCATTTTAATACACATAAATGTAGATGAGCCCAATCAGAACATATCACCATAGGTAACCTCCAAAAACAAAATGGCAAAAAAGAAAAACATTTAAAGAGTGTGTAACTTAAACACAGTGATATTAGGAAGAGACACAACATTTGTATATTGCAAAGGCTTAAACCAAAACATCTTCACACTTCAAGTCTCACCTGATGGCAAACCTGCGACTATCTTGATAATGAAAGTCTGCATCACTGTTGGAAACTTCATCAGCCTCGTAATCTCACTCAGATTGAATACTGACTTCCTTCTGTTATCATCTGAAGTAAAATCAAAGTGCAAGAGGTACAATTACCATCTCATTATGTGTTATGTGTTTCTACCAATAAGTCAAAGTAGAATAACATGTATGTAGAGAAGTCCCAGGGAAATTTCAGTGCTGCTCTCAGATGAGAGGTGAAACGTCTTCTAGCAACTTAAAGAAGTCCAGACGCTTTTCTTTGCAAGCTCCTTTGACTACGATGACCTGGATGACTGAGAACCTTCACAGACATTCCATACCATGGTTTGGATTATTTGCAACCAAAAAGTGACTCTCTCCAAACATCTCTACAAAAATTTATTACCTTTTTTCTCTTTTAAATACATCTATATGGAAAAGAATGGCACACTGCAATTTTAAGGACATTTGAGTATGTAATTATGGAAGATGATACAGTAACACAACATCAGAGACTCAGTGGTATTCTGATAATAATCTACCTGGATTATTACATGGAATTTTAAAGACTGGCATCAATGGTTTGCTATGAGATGATCCAAAATGTGAAAGAAAGAAAAAAAAGAAAGAGCAGAGTCATAGTTTTTAAAGAAAAAAAAAGTGCAGCTGAGAGTGACAAAATCCAGTTCTAGTAATTTTTATGTGTGCAATGAAGATAGCTGGATTCAAATTACCAGCTCATCCCTGTTGTTGTGATCATGAAGCCAAGGCCACTTTGTACAGACTTCCCAGACAGCTGAGAACATTAGGTTGAAAAGAAGTAGGCATATCTTACCTGTAGTGTTGCCTCTGGTTGTTTCAGCTTTTGTATTTTGGGGGATGAACTTTAAAACCAACAGCAAGCTGAAGGCACTCCCTGCAGCACCAAAACATGCAGTAAACTTCTCCCTGAGAAATACAAAGTAAAAGTGCTGTATGGGGGACACTTTTGGCAAACACACACAATGACTGTGATTTCCATGTTTCATAAAAGCGGAATATTCTAACCTAAGCCAAAATGTCTTCCTAAACCAGAGATGTTTTTTATTTCCTTTGGCTCTGTCAAAGAGCCAATGGTTGCTCAGGTTGGTTTCACACCAGTGCTGCTGTTAATGATACACACTGTGACACTAACCCATAGAGTTTGCTCAGCTGTCCGCCTAATGTGGAGCCAACTATCATACCGATGCCAAAACACAGACCAAGCTTGGATAAGGCGTCGGCCCGTTTCTCAGGTTTTGTAAGGTCTGTAACAACCATTTGTGATGCTGCAGACAGAGGTGGGACAAAGAAAAAAATCAAGTGAAACTTTATTCAGGATAAATAAAATGAACATTTAGAATAAATCTGAATAAATGTAAAAAATAGTTCAGTCACATTGTTAGCAAAGGATAAAAAAACGGTAGGTTTGATGCTCACCAGGGAGGACATGCATAAAGATTGTGGGGATTTTATGGATGAACAACATGGCTGGAGTGTCTGCTGTGGCCAGCAGCAGAAAGAAGACAACAGTTGAAGCACATGCCAGGGACAAAGCTGTCCGTGCCCCAAATAGATCTGCAAACCTGCCAAAAAAACCCAGACCCTACAGTCACATTTTTCTACACTGTGTCCAAGCAAAAAATAGCGAACAGAAACTCACCTTCCAAACATTGGGCCCCCGATCAGTTGAATAACTCCAACTGTAGTTTGCAAATAACCAAACCACAACGTGTCGAAGCCGAGCTTCTTTGCCAAATACTATAGAGAGCAACATAAGTAAGTGACCGTTATTTTTTTGTGACAAGTGGTCACAAAACCGAGTAAAATAAATAAGGAAATTAAACACCATAAAAACAATACAAAAACAATTTAAGATCAAAACGAAAATAAAAATCATTAAAAGTATCAAAGAAAAGCCTGATTAAACTAAAAAAAGATTCTTAACTGGTTTTAGAAAGAGTCCACAGAGTCAGCTAAAGTTAATTGTTGCGAGAGACTGCTCTAAATCTCTGCCCTTTTGTATGTGGAATGACCATTAGATTCTGAGCCTGTGATCAAACCCTACAAGCAGAGGTGTGCTTGGTAGAAGATAAGGCAAACAGTCCGGAGCCTGGCCATTAAGTGCTCTGTATGTGAAAACAAAAATTTTATAACAAATTGTAGAATCTACTGAGAGCCAGTTTAAAGAATATAAAATGGTAGTGATTTGAGCTCGGCTGCTGAATGTGTTAATAGTCTTATTACAGTTCCCTTGCTTTATTGCTTTCGAAAGACATTAATGACAATTTACCCAAGCCAGAAAACAAGGCATTACAGTAATCCAAGTGCAATGATGCAAATGCATGACTAATTTTCTCCAGATCCACCAAAGAGACCATATGTTGCAATTCAGAAATGTTAGATAAATTAGAAAAAACAGGAAAAAGACTCCCCTGGTAAGATAGACTTTACTGCCAAAACCCAGAGAAGAATCAAATATTATACCAAGACTTTAAACACTGGATTTAACTGCTGAACAAAATGAACTAAGACCAGTTTAAGACGAGGTCATTGTTAGAGAACCAATCACTAAACAGTGGACTATCCAGCTGTTGGCGCTTAAAAGACATGTACAACTGAATGTCATTAGCATAGAAGTGATAATGAGTGTCAGAAAATAACTTGTGTCTTGATAGACACAATAAAAGTACATCCTTGTTTATGCTAGTCAAGAGTCCGCATTCAAGGCCTTCCTTTATTTTTTATTGATTTATACACTTTAGAAGAACTGTGAACTAATACCCAGCCAACATACCAAGGCCAACATTAGGTAGATGTGGATGAACTGTGGGGGTGTGTGGGCAGGGCAAACCCACAGTCATCCCACCCAAGCCCCAAGTGGGTGTGCTCACACAGGAACCACAGCAGTTTTGCCCTTTAGGGGCCCTGTATGGGTTTTCTAAGGGTAAGTTCACTTTGTGTATTGATGTTGTAGGGAAAATTTGCTACTGCTAGAAATGTGCTTAAGTCGGACAGCAGGGCCAACCCCTAAGATCAGTGGGACCTTCATTTCTTTTCTATAGAACCATGAGCCAAAACACATCTCACTTCTGCAGGGATCGTTTGGAAAAAAAATAATTTAAAAAGCAGAGAACTCCAAAAGCACCCAACCTAAACTCCATTTAATCAAATCTTTTTGGATTGTATTACTAATCTTTACATAATTTGCCTCGTATAGTGTACTTATTTCGCTAGTTAGATAGACACCTAAATATTTGATCTTATTTGAGTCCCATTTTAGTTTATATTCGTTTTGAATTGAATCTTTGGGGAAATAATTCAGACAAAGTACTTGAGTCTTTACGATATTTAATTTATATCCTGAATTTTTGCCAAAATATTTTAATGCTTTAATCAACCGAGGAAAGGTCGTGTCGTGTATAATTATATCATCAGCAAAGAGACCTATTCGTTGTTCGATTTTAGAAACTAAAACCCCTTTTAAGTCTGCACTTTGCTGTATATACTGAGCCAAAGGCTCGATATACAGAGCAAAAAGGGCTGGACTCAGGCAGCAACCCTGCCTGGTTCCTCTGAAGAGCTCAAAACTGTCTGTCAGGTCCCCATTTATTTTAACTCTAGCCAATGGCCTGTGGTACAAGGATTGTATACACTCGATGAAGATACTGTTAAAGCCCATTCTTTTCAAAACAGCAAAAAGAAATATCCAAGAGACTCTATCAAAGGCCTTTTCAGCATCTAAGCTCACTAAGGCTGTTGGGATTTTCTCTTTATTAACTTCATTAATTATATGCAATGTGCGTCGTATATTATCTTGTGTCTGTCGCCCCTTAATGAACCCTGTGTGGTCTTCATCCACCAGATCTGGGAGAAACAGCTCTAAGCGTCTTGTGATTATGGATGTAAATAATTTATAATCCACATTTAAGATAGAGATTGGGCGATAAGAGTCACCGTTTTCCTTGTTTTTACCTTCTTTTGGTAAGACTGATATAATCGCCTCTTTCCAAGAGGGTGGAGTTTTAGCGTGTTTTAATGTCCAGTTAAAAGAATCTATCAAAATAGGAGCCAAAACCTCTTTAAAAGTCTTATACCACTCATTGGGTTACCCATCACTCCCTGGACTTTTATTAGATTTCAATTTCCTTATTGCCTTATCCAGTTCTTCCTTAGTGATTGGTTTAGTTCTTTTTTAATCTCTTGTACCACAGATTCATTGTTAAGAATACCAGTATTTAATTTCCACAATGATTTCTTATTCTGATTATATAAGTGAATAGTCAAGTGTATGGCGTTGTGATCTGACAGATCAGCTATACCGATATTACAATCTATGACTCTATGTTTATCGCTTCTATTTATCAAAACGATATCTATCCTTGAGTGTACCTTATGGGCTACTGAAAAATGTGTATAGTCCTTCTCCAGAGGGTGTAATTCTCTCCATACATCGCAAAGATCCACTTCCTTTATAAGTAAATTAAGAGCCTTGGATTTATTCTTTTTGCGTCTTTTTAAGCTTGTAGTATCTTTAGTATGATTTAATACACAGTTCCAGTCACCCCCACATATCAGAGTCCCTTCACTAAAACTAATAATTTTTTCAGATAGTTTTTGATAGAATTTTGGGTTGCCCTCTGGAGGGGCATACACATTTATCAGAGATACCACATTATTTTTAATCCTCCCTTTGACAGCAACGTATCTACCATCCTTGTCACAGACTTCCTCTAACATTTCAAAATTTACCGTATTAGAAATTAAAGTTATAACTCCTCTTCGTCTGCTATTCTTACATGAGCTGTAAAAGGAATTTACATAGCCAAACTTTTTAAATTTTTCATGTTCTTCTTTTGACATATGAGTTTCTTGAATGAATATAATCTGCGCCTTGTGTCGTTTCAATTTAGATAACAACCTACTCCTTTTAACCGGATTCCCCAGACCGTTGATATTGATTGAGATAATGTTTATTTTACCTACACCACTCATGACTTGTACAATGTGCAGTAACCATCCCCTCAGATTTGAAAAAACAAAAAACAATATTACTAAACATAAAACAAAAAATAATCAAAAACTTGCGACTAGGGTAAAAACCTCCATAAAGGGGGGGCCCTATAAAAAGTTTGAAAACTGAAAATATTGTTCCCATCTTATAGTCCAACGTATTTACCTCCATCCGGTGTTGCTCCTCCCATTCTTTGAATTGATGAGGCAGCAAAGTTGGGAAGATTTTACGTCACAGAATGAGAAGTTTTAGAGTCACTTATGTTTACTGCACTATGACTAGACTATGACTAAATGATGTGTTAGCTTATATTTTTATATTATTATGAAATTTAAATTTCTGCCAGTTTCCTGCTGCTTCTTTTCCAAAATCCTTAATTTACATTTTAAAACGTGATTATTTCCATTATGCCACATACATGTAGTTCTATTTAATCTATCACATTTAAAAAAAAATAAAACATTAACTCATGTACAAGTGGCCTTTCTATGTGGAGCTTGCATGTTCTCCCTGTGTTTTCTTTCTAGCTTCCTTCAACAGTCCAAAGAAATGCATGGGGTTCAATTAACTGGTGATTCTAAATTTGCCACAGCTGTGAATGTGAGTGACCCAAATTAGAATAAGTGGAAGAAAATACATGGGTAGTATTCAATAATGCATTTCTATACTGCAGATTTGTTTTGTGTATCCAAATCTGTTGACTAACTTTATGTTTTCGATCACTGCAGTGGAATTAAATTTTCAATATCTGTTCTTAAGTATGAAATTTAGTAAAGATCCTAAGATTTAGCAATACAATACAACACTTTGCTACATGTACATACTGGCATAGTTCTCATCCATACAAAGTATAAATACTGCCTATGTTCCTGAACAGCCACATATCTGCTGCTTTAACAAAGTGAATTTCACAACTCTGGGACTAATAAATGTCATCTTATCTTATCCCATCTTATCTTGTCACAGTGATTAAGCACATTTCAAAGCAGGATGCTTCACTATGTGTCACTGATATTCAATGATATGAATACCCCTTCTCCAGTGTTTACTATAACTGTATCTAATAGCTACTGTTAGTGTTTCATATAAGACCTGTGGTCAATCTTGCACTCTTAATTAAAACGAGATTTTCAGCCATAGCTGATATCAACGTCAGTAAATCCAGCCTCAATCATAACTGTGCGCACTTCAGGGAATATGGGGACATTTCAGCTTCTTCTTCCCATTTCATATACTCACAGGAGTTACCGAGACTTGTAAAAACATCCATGTGATATCCAAAGCGGCGATGAGATACACAGCGTAAATTGTTGTCATCCTCTGTGAATCGTCTGCGACGTTTGAGGAAACAGAAGCTTTGTCCGTTTCCTCGTTTCTTTCACCTCTTCGACTCATTTTTGCTCCTTGCTGACAACAGCTGTAAAAAACCTTAATGTGTACTCTCTTCAACAAAAGTAAAATGGCAGACAAAAACGTCCTTAGATCTAGCGACCTCTTGCACAAATTGTTAGCCAACCGGTACTCTGGTTGTACTTTGGAACATGAAGGCGTTACCAAGTTTGACGTTAGTCGGTTATGAAGATAGTTTCCGGTCTTTACATTGTTTGGTCATCGGTACAGGCGGACCTATCGCTGCCTTTATCTACGTATCAGACAGAGCAGTTGCTAAAAAACAGCAATGGGCACGTAAACCTCTATGAAAGAAAATCCTCAGGAAGTTTATACAGTGATGCTTTCAGGAACTCCTTCTAGGCTCGTACATTAAAGCATTTTCGAGATCTCTCATCTTCCCTGTCTCGTTTCGAGCATAACATTGATGTTGTTGTTTTTTAAAATGATACAAAACAACATATCACATGTCAAAACTGTAAGACCTTTTTTACTGAAAAATATATATTTGGGTTAATTTGTCTCTTGCTTTTTATAGCATTAGAGTTATTCAACAGTTAAGAGCCTCGTTTTTGTGTTTTATCATTTTATACTGTGCCAGTGTTTCAGTGAGAAACCAACACGTTCTCACTCCCAACTCGTCAAATGTGTGACGCGTAGTCAGGCTCCCTCTGCAGGGTACCCCCCTCGCGTCGAGAATTGACGTGCAGGGTTCTCCTATTGAATACTATGCTGCTTCCTAATCGTTGTTTATTGACGACAAAAAATTTCCGAGGAAGAGCCTGTTGTTCGTATATTTATACATTTCCGAATTCACATTATAGTGACATATACTGAACACAATATATTATATAATGTAAACAACTACCTGAGAAACAGCAGATACAGCAGATAAATTAATTATAGACTATTACTTTTGTATCATTTATTGCATTTGTGTAGGGAGAGGTGGGTAATGGCGCAGCTAGAGACTGGGTG